GAGAGAGAAGGATTGACAGAAACTCACATTGACACCAGCCATCCCTCGAAGATGCCTCCCTGCAGATCCATATGACACCGTTGCTCCTTGTCCGTATTGTCAACCTCCCCTCTACCCATGAGGCATCCGTCGCCTGGGTCTCCGGCCTCGTTGCTCCATCCCCACCATGGACCTATTGGACCTCCCCTCATCAGCCAATCTGGTGGAAGGGGATCAGCGAAAAGGAGCACGGCGGCAGGGCATCTCTGCAATCCGTGCTATCCTTCTGCGTCGAGGATGAAGAATATACTTTCGGGAGGAAGAGTAGGCGGGCAGCGGGGAGTAAGAGACGCTGGAGGGAATGGGGATTTTTTTTCCTTTCTGGTGAAACCTAGCCTTGATAGCTTTCTCACCTTGGGGACGGCTGCAGCGGCGAGACGGTGACAGGTAGGAGGAGGCGGAGGGGCGGTGGCGCACGTACAGGGGAGGAGAGGCGACATCACTGGATAGAGAGAGGGGGCCGAGGGTAGCGGCGGCGCTGGAGTGGGAGGAGGAGGCGCTCGAGGCAGAGGGCATGGGGGGAGAAGGAGGCGCTCGAGGCGGAAGGTTTCGCTTGACAAGTTTTCCGTTCTTTCCCTTTTTCTTTTTACTTCTCTTTTTTTTCCTGCCCAACCAATACTTTCGACGTGGCATGCACGAGAGGTCGCCCTTGTAGCGACTATTAAAGGGTTTAATGGCACCAAACGAAGCTTCCCGTCATCGTATCCTGGTAAGTGGTTTTTTTAGCATCAGTACAGACACAAGCGCTCATATACACGCGCATACACCCATCCCTATGAACGCACACATACCCACCCTATCTCTATGAGCATCTCCGAGAGACTGAGCCGGCATATCATCTTGAGATTTACGAAGTTATCGTAGGCGCCTCGTCGTCGACGGGAACGTCTCCTTTCACTGAAAGCGCATCGCCGGAAATCCTGAAATAAATCCAGAAATAATGCGAGCATCAGGATTTGAACCCTGGTGGATTGAGGATACCACTGTCCACCTAACCATCTCAACCACAGGTTGGTTCGCTCTTAGTGTGGTAACGCAGCTGGAGTCGGTGCTGCTGAGATCGCCAAGCCCACGTCTTAATTAGTACTCTCTCCGTCCGGGTTTATTGGACCCATAAGCAACCGAGGCCTGTCCGTTTTTATTAGGCCGTCGATTTTATTTAGTGTTCGGTTGCTGTTCTTTTCATAGAAAATCAAGGGAGTCAACCCAGCCGTTGCATGCAGCGATAGTATTGGATGGGATCGTGGGTGAGTTAATAGACTGCATGCGCTCCAGCTCTTCCGATTGGCCAGGAAAGCGGCTGTGCGTGCGCGGTAATTGCGAAATTACTGCTGGGGCATTAAGATATACTCCCTCCGTTCCAGATTCTAGTGCGTATAGTTTTTTGGCTTCGATTCCGATATGTAGTGCGCATAAGCGCTGTGAAGCTGCTTTCGACGAAATAATCCTCAACTGGTTCACGGCAGTGCAGCAGCAGGTACCCACGTGCGTGACAGACCAAGCAGGGGAGGGGTAATTCTTGTTCAAACAAAGACGCCAGCTCATACATTGGTATAAGTGCCCCAGCCAAAGGCGCACTATAAAGAGGAATGGAGGGAGTACATGACTTCCGAAACGTTCGGTACAGCTAATGTCGAGATTTTTGCTCTAACCGAAGCTAATTACTCGTTTTCTTGGTCCTGCCGATTGTGTCGACGAGCCCAATAAATCCAGATGGAGGGAGTAGCTAGCACGTCTCCGTCGATCGCATTGAGAGCATCTTCAGCCGTTGGTCCCCCAGAAGGCATAAAAATCGCCCTTTGGGGGCGAGCCGTCGATACAATCGACGTTGGGAGTGGTTGGACATCCAGCCGTCGCCTCTAGGTCGCCTTCAGGCGTTGATATTGGTCCAGTTTTCGGTCCACTTTCGGCAAATAAAGGGATCATATGGGCGAGAATAGGTCATATTCAGCGTGGTTCGTCGTGGCTCGACGTTCAATTACCAACATAAACATATTTTTATCACATAGTTCATTAAATAGTTCAACAAAATAGTGCAACACCAAATAATTCAATACAAATTATATAGTTCAACAAATAAAAACTCATATTTCATCACACGTCGCGCCCGGTGTTGCCCTTGAGCCTTTATATGTGCTCCATCAGATCCTGCTGTAGTTGATGATGCACCTGTGGGTCTCGGATCTCCTGACGCATACTGAGGTAGGCAGTCCAGGTTGCCGGTAGCTGGTGATCAACTTCGACTAGAGGACCCTGCCTGTAGTATGGTTCAGTGTCAAACACTGGCTCTTCTTGCTTGCTCTCGATGATCATGTTGTGCAAGATGATACAACAAGTCATGATCTCCCACATTTGATCTTTCGACCAGGTCTGAGCAGGGTGCCGGACAACAGCAAATCGATATTGGAGCACACCAAATGCTCGCTCGATATCCTTCCGGCAAGCCTCCTGCACCTTGGCAAACTGGGAATTCTTGCCTCCTGGCACAACGTTTGAGATAGTCTTCACAAATGCAGGCCATCTCGGATAGATGCCATCAGCTAGGTAGTACCCCTTGTTGTAGTGTCGCCCATTTGACCTCGAAGTTCACCGGAGAAGAATGACCTTCAACAAGCTTGGCAAAGACATGGGAGCATTGCAGCACGTTGATGTCATTGTGAGTTCCTGGCATACCAAAGAAGGAGTGCCAAATCCAGAGGTTATGTGTGGCCACGCCTCAAGTACCACACTGCAACCGCCTTTTGCGCCTTTGTACATCCCCTGCCAAGCAAACGGGCAGTTCTTCCATTTTCCAATGCATACAGTCGATGCTTCCAAGCATCCCAGGAAATCCTCTTGCTGCATTCTGTGCTAGGATCCGAGCAGTGTCTTCCGCATTGGGTGTTCTCAAGTATTGCAGTCCAAACACTGCCACCACTGCCCGACAGAACTTGTAGAAACACTCAATGGTGGTGGACTCGACCATGCGCCCATAGTCGTCGAGTGAATCACCGGGAGCTCCGCATGCAAGCATCCTCATCGCTGTCGTGCACTTCTGGATCGATGTGAATCCAAATTTGCCGGTGCAATCCCATCTTGCACTTGAAGTAGTTGTCGAACTCCCGGATGGAATTCACAATCCTGAGAAAGAGCTTTCGGCTCATCAGATAACGGCGTTGAAATGTTTTGTCGTCGTGAAGTGGAGCATCGACGAAGTAATCGGAGTAGAGCATGCAATAGCCTTCGAGATCCCTCGGTCGTGGTCAGCCTCACCATGCGCTCCTCGCCGCCCGCCGCTCCACCAAAGAGATCCACCACGCCGCCCGCTTGACGCCTCTCCCCCGCACGTGGGAGGCCCGTCGGGGCGCACCGACTTCGCCCGACGCCTTCGACGGTCGGGCGCCGGCGCCGACAGCGGAGACGCCCAGGGGAGCTCGTGGAGTGGAGCGTGCGAGGCTAGAGTTGGCGCCTTCGGAACCACCCGCGCGAGCGGCTCGGGAGGAAGAGGAAAAATTCGGTGCATGAAATTTTCAATCGTGCGGGAGCGATGGGCGAGACGAAGATGAGGAAGCTCCTGTCTGGCTTCCTGACAGCGCCCGATGAATCAGAATACCTTCACCGCGATTGAAGAATCAGAGTACCTTTATTCTCATCGCATCCGTTGTGAAAACGTTGCCGACGAATGTCGTAAAAATCACGCTGATTAGCCTGACAGCATGGTGGCTGGAGGCAAAGGGAACCAGAAAAAGTCTCCGACGGCTGCCCTCCGAATCCTATCTCCTTTTTTGTTTTTTTGAGTGCTATCCTATCTCCTCGTCGCCAAAGGTTCTACACTCACTCCACCACCTGACCAGACACGTTCCTATTTTCTACGGGCCCCACTTGTCCGTCTCGTGCGCTCCGTTGGGCCTCGGCCTTTTCCGCCCCCGCAATCTGATCCGCAGGGAGAGCGGCCCGCAATTCCTCCTCACTCACCCACCCACCCACCAGCAATCCATCCATCCCTCGCAGCTCCGGCCGGCGGCGATGCCGGCGGGCCAGCAGCCGCAGGCGCGCGAGCCCGACAGCGGCCGCCAGCACCCGCCGCCCGCCACGCCCGCGCTCCCGTCCGAGGTGGTGCCGGCCTACCCGCCGCCGGAGTCGGAGGACGACGAGTCCTGGGTGTGGACGCAGATCAAGGCGGAGGCCCGGCGCGACGCGGACGCCGAGCCGGCGCTCGCCTCCTTCCTCTACGCCACGGTGCTCTCCCACCCCTCCCTGCCCCGCTCCCTCTCCTTCCACCTCGCCAACAAGCTCTGCTCCTCCACCCTCCTCTCCACGCTCCTCTACGACCTCTTCCTCGCCTCCCTCACCGCGCACCCCTCCCTCCGCGCCGCCGTCGTCGCCGACCTCCTCGCTGCGCGCGCCCGCGACCCCGCCTGCGTCGGCTTCTCCCACTGCCTCCTCAACTACAAGGGCTTCCTCGCCATCCAGGCGCACCGCGTCGCGCACGTGCTCTGGGCGCAGAACCGCCGCCCCCTCGCGCTCGCCCTCCAGTCCCGCGTCGCCGACGTCTTCGCCGTCGACATCCACCCCGCCGCCGTCGTCGGCAAGGCCATCCTCCTCGACCACGCCACCGGCGTCGTCATCGGGGAGACCGCCGTCGTCGGCGACAACGTCTCCATCCTCCACCACGTCACCCTCGGCGGGACCGGCAAGGCCGTCGGCGACCGCCACCCCAAGATTGGGGACGGGGTGCTCATAGGCGCCGGCGCCACCATCCTCGGCAACGTCATGATTGGAGCCGGGGCCAAGATTGGGGCTGGCTCCGTGGTGCTGATAGATGTGCCGGCGAGGAGCACCGCGGTGGGCAACCCTGCCAGGCTGATTGGAGGGAGGAAGGGCGAGTCCGACAAGGACGAGGACATGCCCGGAGAGTCCATGGATCACACCTCCTTCATACGGCAGTGGTCCGACTACACCATCTGAGGGGAGCCATTGTGCAAGGTCTATTACTCATCCTCTGTATCAGTAACCGTGTTGTGCTACCAAATACATAGTGATTTTGTTTTGGTATTGTTCGCTTGTGGATGAACATCAACTGTAGTCTAGTGTGTATGACCAATTGTTTCTTCAGCTGAGCAACCATGCTCGGATACTGATAGCAGATGATTGATGAACGAATAATTTTGTAATCCATGGTGGATTTGGTTGTACTTTAATCATTTTCCGGATTAATCATGCTTTTCCGAGAACATAGGTCATGGATTGATCAAGCTTCAAGGGCATATTAGATCACATGATTATAGCGTGTGAACCAATGATGATGCCGCATACTAAATTCTAGACATATTTTCAGATCCCACTTTCGTCATTTTTCTCTACATCAAATCAAATGAACTGTATTAGAGCCCTTAGCTAATAATTTATTCTTAAGTTCTGGAACGGGGTGATAAATGCCGGTCTAGTTTCTGTTTTTCTGAACCTTTATAATTTGCCAGTGTCACTCTTGACAAAGTTTATGAAAGCATTTCCCCAAAAATTTAAGTAAAAAGTATCTTGTTCTAGCATTATGAATCTGGTTGAAGTTCATGCTCATTTATTCTGTATGTTTATTTATTTATTCATCTCTTTGTAGTTTTAGGACGTATGGTTCATTGAGCTCCCACATGCTATACCTATATATCCACCATTTTGATATATGATGAATATAAAAAAAATACTTTTCTTCTGTCAAGACAATGTCGCCTTCGTTGGATGGGTCAATGAAGACTAGGAAAACACTATTTTCTGAATTTTATACCACACTTGCCCTTCTGAAGCTTCCGGCTGACTGTCAAAGTCATCGAGTCAACAAAGTCTTAAGTCTTTCACAAGTGCCTTCTGAAGCTTTGAGCGAACCATTCAAAGTCATTGAGTCAACAAATTCCCAAGTCTTTCTAGCTTAGAGCACCATCTATCTGGTAAGAGGCTGGGAGGGCTTTCTGTTTGTTTGCGTTTCACAATGGAAGCAATCATTTCTGAATTTTATACCACACTTGCCCTTCTGAAGCTTCTGGCTGACTGTCAAAGTCATCGAGTCAACAAAGTCTTAAGTCTTTCGAGCTCAGAGCACCATCTATATAGTGACGTGCTGGGAGGAGTTCCTGTTCATTCGCGCTTCACAATGGAGACAATCATCTCTGTGGTTCTTGGTGATCTTGTTGGCAGAGCTATATCCTTCGTGGTCGAGAAGCGCCGCGAGAAGACAACCGCTGAGGAGGATCTGCAGAGGCTGCGCCAGCTGCTTCTGAGGATAAGTGCTGTTGTCGAGGAGGCTGAGGGGCGATGTGTCACAAACCGGGGGATGATACATCAAGCTAGCACGATGCGAGAGCAAATGTTCAGAGGGTACTACCTTCTCGATGCCTTCAGGTGCAGAGAGAAGAAGACCGATGACGAGGAGGTGAGTCACTTCTTGTTTGCTCAATCCAATTTCAATCCGGCCAAGCGTTTTCGCCGCCTTTCTAGCAACACTCAGATTGAGAGCACGGTAACTGTTAGAGTAAGCAGTCAGGAGCTTAAACAGGTTGTTCTTGGCCTAGAAAGCATGCTTGTTGATATGAAGGAGTTTGCTATATTTCTGATGAGCTACCCTCGCATGTACCGCCAACCCTATGGTGCATATTTATTTGTGGACAAGTATATGTTTGGCCGCCAAATGGAGAGGGAACAAGCCATCCGCTTCTTGCTACAAGCAGAGCTTCCGTATGGAAATGTGGGTGTCCTTCCAGTTGTTGGTTCTGCATATGTTGGGAAGAGCACTCTTGTGGAACATGTTTGCAACGATGAGCGTGTACAAAACCACTTCTCCTTGATCTTGCTCTACATTGGAAACAACCTTCAAGATGAAACGATGACAACTTTTAGAGATCATTGCGTGATCAAGCATCAAAATATTTCCTTGGATGAAGAGAAGTCGTTGGTAGTCATTGAGCTCTTAGGGGACGTGGACAAAGGAGTATGGAAGAGACTGCTGCACTCTTCTGAACGATGCATGCCACATGGGAGTAAGATCATAATCACAAGCCGATCAGAGAAAGTGGCCAGTCTTGGAACAACGGAAGCCGTCAGGCTAAACTATTTGTCTAAAGAAGCGTACTGGTATTTCTTCAGGATGCTCGTGTTTGGTAGCACGGATCCGGAGGAGCACCCGAAGTTAACATCCATAGCCATGGAGATAGCCGTAGAGATGTGTGGATCTTTCTTATACGCATATGTTGCTGCTGCCTTACTGAGAGAAAATCTTAGTGCTCGGTTCTGGTACAGGGTTCTCAGACACCTTAGGGAGTACAAGCAGAAGAATATCTTGTTGTTAGGTGAATATCCTGCTGAGGAAGATCAGCCTCGGTATATTTTGAGCTTGGCTAAAAGGCGGCATGGTTCTGAGGATACTAAGTTCCTTTTGCAAAGTAGTCACTGCCACAATGGTCCTGCTTCTCATGGTGGGCTTCCGAAGATAACAATGGTGGATCTGCTATCCGGCACCTGGAGCGCTATGCCAAGGGGAAAATTTGAGGTCTTGTCCTGGAGGTCTGTCATACCACCGTACTACAGCTACACAACTGCTTGCGAGTTTGTCCGGCACAGCAGTAGTACCACAGCATAGATGAAGAAGAGAAGCGCTCTTTGGCACCGTGGTGACATTGCTTTGATTTACTGGTGGTTCTCTTCTTGTCTATGGACCATGGCTCACCTGATTGGTTGATGAGACTTCCTTGCTTTGCTGGTGTAAAAGTTGATGATATTTATTTAAGTTGATCTGGTTCTTGACTCGATCTTGTATGGAGTATACTGTGACTGGTATCCGGTACATATGGCTCCCTAATTACCGGTTGTGTTTGTAATCACTTTTGCCATCTTCATCTGAATAAATAAGCCCTTGGCTAAGTAGCTAATGTTTCTCCTCAGACTCTCTTTTTTACTTTTTGTATAGAGCTGACACATCTTGCTAGCTAGTACTCCCTCCATCCGAAAAAGCTTGTCCCTCAAATGGATGTATCTAGCACCAAGTTAGTGCTAGATACATCTAGCTTTGTTTCTCAGAAGGGAGTACTAACATCTAGCGTTGTTTCTAACTACTTGAGAAGCCTGTTTTGTTTACACGAACGACGGCGCTGCTCAGAGAGGGTGACGAAGGACAAGCATCCTGGGCATCCTCGGCATCGGCGCAGATTCTCAGAAGCAGCTACTGCAACCTCTGCAGATCCTGCCGCGAAGTTTGGTACTTTTCAGCCAAAAGATGCTGGTTAACGGTGTCTTGTACAGTAGAAGACAACATCACTCACACGAGTCTGGGGAGTTCAGTTCAGGCAACCTGCATGCCTTGCTACAAAGATCAGTGCCGCAAGTGAAAATCAACACAGATAGCTGGAGCTAACAAGATGAAAAAACAGCTGAAAGAACAGAGTGAACAAACACAACCACTGCCTGATTGTGCAGGTGCTGGGAAGGGCCAAACAAAAAAGTGATCTCACTGTTGATCCTAACAGGGGAGACTTGCAGCTTCAAGTTTCCACCACACCGATCTTTATTAAATCAGATATAAATCAGAAACAGATACTTTTCGTCTGTCATAACAGTGTCGCTTTCGTTGGCTGGGTCGAATGCCAATTCCCTGCTCAGTGCTTGTGCTGGATAACAATTGAAAGGACACGGTGAGCAGGCACGACCACTTCTTGATTGTGCAGGTGTTAGAAACGACGGAGGAAAAAACGTCATCTGGCTATTTATCAAATGGTGCAAACATGCTATTTTCTGGAAGCTACATCATAATTGCTTTCTGAAGCTTTAGCTGACCATTCAGAGTCATGGAGTCAGCAACTTGCTAACTCCCTTCAAGTTCTGGTGAGAGTCAGGGAGGGGTTCCTGTTTGCTTGCAGTTTACGATGGAGACACTAATTTCTGCAGTTCTTGATGATACTGTCAGCAGAACCATATTCTACTGGTTGAGAAGTGCTGTGAGCAGAGAACCACGGAAGAGGATCTGCAGAGGCTGCACCAGCTGCTTCTGAGGTTACGTGCCGTTGTTGAGGAGGCTGAGGGGTGGCATGTCACTGCAAAGATGATCTGTCAGACTAGCATGATGACAAAGCAAATGTTCAGAGGGTACTAACTTCTCGACACCTTCAAGTGTGGAGAGAAGAAGACTGACACTGAGGAGGTGAGTCCCTCCTTGTTCGTTCAATCCAAATTTAATCCAGCTAATGTTTTTACCACATATCTAGTGACATTCAAACTGAGAGCAGGGTAATGGGTAGAGAAAGCAGCAAGTAGTTGAAATAGGTACTTTTTGTTAAGAGTTATATTACAAGTCATGTACCCCTTTGTATTTATCCCGTTATATAAGGGGTTTTCTGCATATGTTTCACATCTGTACATGTATATATATCGGCCTATGGCCTCATGGGAATACAAGTTGCATATTTCCTAACATGGTATTAGAGCTAGGTCAATTTTTTCGCACGCCGTAACTCGTGCTGTTGATCCTCCGTGGCCGCCGCCGCGGCTTTTCTCTGTCGTAGCGCCGGTTCTCACGTCCGGTCCTCTCTGATCGGTCCACCCAAGGCCGGCTCCTTCCCCGTCCGTCCCGCATCTCTGTAACGCTCACGCCGCATCCTTTGGACCGAGCAAGCTGGTCGCCTCTCTGGGTCGGATCTCCGTCGGGCTGCTACTCTTCCAACAACTAGACACCGGTCGTCGCCCCTCGTTGGATCTCCCTGCCAGCTGCCAGTTTCCGCTCTCTGCAGCTCCTTGCCGATCTCGCCGCCAGCTGCCAGTTTCCGCTCTCTGCAGCTCCTTGCCGATCTCGCCGCCAGCTGCTCTTCTTGCCGGATCTCTCCGCCAGACTGCTCCTCGTCCGGCGGTTGCCGTCTGCTGCCCGTCGGAAGCCTCTGTTACTCCCGCGTGACTGCTGCTGCCTGGGAAAAAAAACAGGCACGCTGTCCGCATCTTCCGGCTATGTTGCTGTTCCTCGCTGTCCGGTGATCTTTGATGGTACTAACTACACCGAGTTCACTGGCTTCATGCGCATTCACATGTGTGGCATCCGTCTCTGGGGTGTTCTTTCTGGCGAGGTCTGCTGTCCGCCACGTCCAGTTCCTCCGGTGGCCCCTACTCCTCCGACTCCACTGGTTCTTGCTCCGGATGCTAATCAGGCCGCCAAGGATGCGGCTAAGCTTGCTGATGAGGCTGCTGATCGTGCTTATGATGAGAAGGTTTTGGCTTATGAGGAGGCTCTTCAGATTTATCATGGTGCTCTGTCTGCTTACACCCAGTGGCTTGATGATGATGCTCGTGCTGCTGCTGTTCTCACTGCTAGTGTTCTGCCTCAGTTTGCTTCTGAGTTTCTGGGTCTTCCTACTGTCTTTGAGATGTGGACCCGTCTTCGTCAGCGCTATCAGCCCTCTGGTGATGCCTTATACCTTTCTGTGGTCCGTCAGGAGCATGCTCTTCAGCAGGGCGACTCTACTGTTGATGACTTCTATGCACAGAGTTCTGCTATCTGGCGCCAGCTTGATTCTCTCCGCAGTGCTGGTTGTCGTACCTGCCCCTGTTGCCAGGCTGTCCAGGCCAATTTGGAGTTTCATCGCGTCTATGAGTTCCTGTCTCGGCTCCGTAAGGAGTTTGAGCCCCGACGTGCTCAGTTGTTTGCTCGTGGCCGTATTTCTCTCATGGAGGCGCTTTCTGAGATTCGTGCTGAGGAGACTCGCTTACGTGGTGCTGGTTTGCTGGAGGTTCCCTCCGTGCTCGCTACTCGTGCTCCTACGCCACCTGCTGCACCGACCCCTTCTCGCTCGAGTGCTCCGCCGCTCTTGCCCACTCCTTCTGGAGGCTCAGGTCGCCCCCGTCCACATTGCGACTACTGCAACAATGATGGTCATCTTGAGTCTCAGTGCTACACGAAGAAGAAACACCTGCGCAAGGCGCGATCATCATCTTCAGGGACTTCGTCATCTACCTCGACAGCTTCAGCCATTACTTTGACTGAGCAGGATATTCTGAGACTTAAGCGTCTGCTCGCGGCTTCAGGTTCTTCCTCGACGGGTACTGCTGGTTCTGTGACTGATGCTTCCTGCACTGAGCAATCACCCTCTACACAGTCAGGTACATCCCCATGGGTTCTGGACTCTGGAGCTTCTTTTCATATGTCTTCTCATTCTTCCATTTTGTCCTCTTTTCGCTCGCTGGATTCTCCTGTTCATGTCCTCACTGCTGATGGTACTCCACTTTCTGTCGTTAGTAGAGGCACTCTTATCACTCCTTACTCTGTTCCTGATGTTGCTCATGTTCCTCGACTCACCATGAATCTGTTTTCTGCTGGTCAACTTACTGATTCTGGTTGTCGCGTCATCCTTGACGTTGACTCTTGTTCTGTCCAGGACCGTCGCACGCACACTCTGGTTGGGGCTGGCCCTCGCCGCCGTGATTCTCAGGGTCTTTGGGAGTTGGACCGGCTTCATGTTCCTTCTGCTGCCACCACTATCGCTAGTTCCTCCGCTTCAGTCGCCTCTGTTACTGGTTCCTTCAAACAGTGGCATCATCGACTTGGTCATCTGTGTGGTTCTCGGTTGTCGTCTTTAGTTCGTCGAGGCCTTCTGGGGTCTGTCTCAGGAGATGTCTCTTTAGAGTGTCAGGGTTGTCGTCTTGGCAAGCAGATTCAGTTACCATATTCACATAGTGAGTCAGTGTCTAAGCGTCCTTTTGATTTAGTCCATTCTGATGTATGGGGTCCGGCTCCTTTCGCTTCCAAAGGTGGTCATAAATACTATATTATTTTCATAGATGACTTCTCTCGTTACACATGGCTTTATTTCATGACTTCTCGTAGTGAGGTGTTGTCTATTTATAAGCGTTTTGCTGCCATGGTTCATACTCAGTTCTCTTCACCCATTTGTGTTCTTCGTGCTGACTCTGCTGGCGAGTATATCTCTAAGATGTTGCGTGGTGTTCTTGCTGAGGAAGGCACTCTCTCTCAATTCTCTTATCCTGGTGCTCATGCTCAGAATGGTGTGGCTGAGCGAAAGCATCGTCATCTTCTTGAGACGGCTCGTGCATTGCTGATTACTGCCTCTCTCCCGCCTCATTTTTGGGCTGAGGCCGTCTCCACCTCCACCTATCTTATCAATCTCCAGCCTTCCGCTGCTCTACAGGGTGGTGTTCCTTTCGAGCGTCTTTTTGATCGTTCTCCTGATTATTCGATGCTTCGCTTGTTTGGTTGTGTTTGCTATGTTCTTCTTGCCCCTCGCGAACGCACCAAACTGACCGCTCAGTCTGTTGAGTGTGTCTTTTTAGGCTACAATGATGAGCATAAGGGCTATCGTTGTTGGGATCCTATCGGTCGTCGGATGCGTATCTCTCGAGACATGACTTTTGATGAGTCTCGTCCCTTCTACCCACGCCCATCTTCCTCGACCTTTTCAGTGGAGGATATCTCTTTCCTCACTTTTCCTGACTCACCTATCACCCCCGTCGAGTCTGTGCCTATTCGTTCCGCTCCCTCTGCTTCTCCACCTCTAGTTGATTTGATGCCACCATCTTCCACGGTCTCCTTGTCTAGCATGTCACCAGATTCTACACCTCCATCTCCGGTGACTTCTTCGTCGCCACCCCTCGATTCTACCTTGGCGATTCCTCCTTCTATTGTTCCATCTCTTCCTCAGTATTACACTCGTCGTTCACGTCCTGTGGATGCCTCCGTGGATGTGTCGTCATCTTCCTCTCAGCCTACTTATGGCTTGCGTTCTCGTCCTCGTCCGCCTGTTGATCGCTTTGGATTTCCCACCGCTGGTGCTGCTGTTCTTGAGCCGACTTCTTATCGTCAGGCTGTTGTTCATCCTGAATGGCAGTTTGCGATGGCAGAGGAGATTGCTGCTCTTGAACGCACTAGTACCTGGGATCTTGTTTCCCTTCCTCCCGGAGTCCGTCCCATCACTTGTAAGTGGGTCTACAAGGTTAAGACTCGCTCCGATGGTTCTCTTGAGCATCACAAAGCTCGTCTTGTGGCTCGTGGTTTTTAGCAGGAGCATGGTCGTGATTATGACGAGACTTTTGCTCCTGTGGCACATATGACCACTGTTCGTACACTTCTTGCCATTGCCTCTGCACGCCACTGGTCTATATCTCAGCTTGATGTTAAGAATGCTTTTCTTAATGGTGACCTGCGTGAAGAGGTGTATATGCAGTCACCACCTGGATATTCTGTTCCTGATGGCATGGTCTGTCGTCTTCGTCGCTCTTTCTATGGCCTTAAGCAAGCCCCCCGTGCCTGGTTTGAGCGTTTTGCCTCTGTGGTCACTGCTGCTGGTTTTTCAGCAAGTGCTCATGATCCAGCATTGTTTATTCACCTTTCTCCTCGTGGTCGGACTCTTCTTCTTCTCTATGTTGATGACATGGTCATCACTAGGGATGACCCCGAGTATATTGCCTTTGTAAAGGCCCGTCTTAGTGAGCAGTTTCTTATGTCTGATCTTGGCCCTCTTCGCTACTTTCTTGGGATTGAAGTCTCTTCTACCTCTGATGGCTTTTTTATATCCCAGGAAAAGTATATCCAGGATCTTCTTGCTCGTGCTGCTCTTACTGACGAACGCATTGTTGAGACTCCTATGGAGCTCAATGTTCACCTCCGTGCTACTGATGGTGATCCCCTCCCTGACCCGACGCGTTATCATCATCTTGTTGGCAGTCTTGTCTATCTAGCTGTCACTCGTCCGGATATCTCTTATCCGGTTCATATTCTGAGTCAGTTCGTCTCCGCTCCCACATCGGTCCACTATAGTCATCTCCTTCGTGTTCTCCGATATCTTCGGGGCACAATCTCTCACCGTCTATTCTTTCCTCGCTCCAGTTCTTTACAGCTTCAGGCTTATTCGGATGCTACGTGGGCTAGTGATCCTTTAGATCGCCGTTCACTTTCTGCTTACTGTCTTTTTCTTGGTGGTTCTCTCATTGCCTGGAAGACGAAGAAACAGATTGCAGTTTCCCGTTCGAGTGCCGAGGCTGAGTTGCGAGCAATGGCTCTTTTGACGGCAGAGGTGACTTGGTTACGGTGGTTACTTCAGGATTTTGGTGTTTCTGTCACTACACCGACTCCGCTCTTATCTGACAGTACAGGTGCTATTAGCATTGCGCGTGATCCTGTGAAGCATGAGCTCACCAAGCATATTGGTGTTGATGCTTTCTATGTACGCGCTGGTGTGCAGGATCAGGTTATTGCTCTTCAGTATGTGCCTTCCGAGTTACAGTTGGCGGATTTCCTGACGAAGGCCCAGACTAGAGCACAACATGGCTTTTATCTCTCCAAACTCAGTGTTGTTCATCCACCATGAGTTTGAGGGGGGGGGGGTGTTAGAGTTATATTATAAGTCATGTACCCCTTTGTATTTATCCCATTATATAAGGGGTTTCCTGCATATGTTTCACATCTGTACATGTATATATATCGGCCTATGGCCTCATGGGAATACAAGTTGCATATTTCCTAACACTTTTCTTCCGTCATTGCAGTTCTGCTTTCATATTAGGAGAACCCAAGTTAAAAAAAGAAAGATTAGGAGAACCCCCATTTTCTGAAACTTATAGCACAATCTTCTGTCATAACATTGTTGCCTTTGTTGGTGGGTCAATAAAGACGAGGATAACACCTACTTTTTTGAAAAGTATAGCACAATTACCTTCTGAAACTTTCAGTTTGACCATTCGAAGGCATGCCTCAGTCCTTCGAGCTTGGAGCACCATCTATCTAGTACCGGCGTGGGAGGGGTATCTGTTCGTAAACACTTCACAATGGAGGAATCATTTCTGGGGTTCTAAGTGATCTTGTCGGCAGAGCTATATCCTTCGAGCTTGGATCACCATCTATCTAGTACCAGCCTGGGAGGGGCATCTGTTTGTAAACATTTCACAATAGAGGCAATCATTTTGGGGGTTCTTAGTGATCTTGTCAGCAGAGCTATATCCTTCGCTGTCGAGATGTTCCACGAGCAAACAACCACGGAGGAGGATCTGCAGAAGCTGCGCCGGCTTCTTCTGAGGATATCTTCTGTTTGAAGTTCATGCTCATTTATTCCATATATTTCCTTATTTATTCATCTCTTTGTAGTTATAGGACATATGGCCGTGTAGTTTCAGAGTCATTGAGCTCCCACATGCTATGTCTTTATGCAACAGGTAGTTGCTACTTACAAGTCTTTCGCTGAATTGGTCGGATCAAAATTTTGTCGACTTTAGCAATTTTCTGTGCTTTGAAAGATGTCTACTGTTAGAAGTGTCTAAGGTGCGACTACTGGAATCACCAGTGAGCTCCACAACTTGATGGATCATCCCTCAGTTTGCGACGCTCCCCTCTTGGCCTCCTCAACAACGGCACAGATCCTCAGAAGCAGCCTCTCTAGATCCTGTACCGCAGTTGCCTGTTCCCAGCACTTCTCAGCCATGATGCTTGTTAACAGTGTCTTGTAGAAGTTAGAAGAACACAAAACCCGCACAGTGTGGGGAGTTCAGATTTCAGGCAACCTGCATGTGTTGCTACAAAGATCAGTATCTCCATGCAAGGGGTTCTGACTGACAAGAAGAAACAACAGTAAAAAAAAGCAGCGAGTGAAAGCAACCAATGCCAGATTCTGCTGGTGTTGGAAAGAACGGAAGAGGAGTGTGATTTGACTTTTGTTCCCAGCAGAAGAGACGTGCAGCATCAAGTTTCCACCATTTCGATATCCTTTTCAAAAACAAATACTTTCCTTCTTTCCAAAGTCAAAACAATGTCGCCATCATTGGATGGGTCAATGAAGACTAGAAAGTAGGAAAACACCTAATTTAAAGCACAAGTGCCTTCTGAAGCTTTGAGCGAACCATTCAAAGTCATTGAGTCAGCAAATTCCCAAGTCTTTCTAGCTTAGAGCACCATCTATCTGGTAAGAGGCTGGGAGGGCTTTCTGTTTGTTTGCGTTTCACAATGGAAGCAATCATTTCTGCGGTTCTTGGTGATCTTGTCGGCAGAGCTATATCCTTCGTGGTCAAGAAGCTCCGCGAGCAGACAACCTCTGAGGAGGATCTGCAGAGGCTGCGCCAGCTGCTTCTGAGGGTAAGTGCCGTTGTTGAGGAGGCCGAGGGGCGGCGTGTCACAAACCGAGGGATGATACATCAGGCTAGCACGATGAGAGAGCAAATGTTCAGAGGGTACTACCTTCTTGACACCTTCAGGTCCAGAGAGAAGGAGGCCGATGATGAGGAGGTGAGTCGCTTCTTGTTTGCTCAATCCAATTTCAATCCGGCTAAGCGTATTCGCTGTCTTTCTAGCAACAGTCAGATTGAGAGCACGGTAATTGGTAGAGAAAGCAGTCAGGAGTTGAAACAGGTTGTTCTTGGCCTAGAAAGCGTGGTTGCTGATATGAAGGAGTTTGCTATATTTCTGATGAGCTACCCTCGCATGTACCAGCAACCCTATGGGGCATATTTATTTGTGGACAAGTATATGTTTGGCCGCCAAATGGAGAGGGAACAAGCCATCAGCTTCTTGCTACAAGCTGAGCCTCCAGGGAATGGAAATGTGGGCGTCCTTCCAATTGTTGGTCCTGCACGAGTTGGGAAGAGCACTCTTGCGGACCATGTTTGCAATGATGAGCGTGTGCAGAATCACTTCTCCTTGATCTTGCTCTACACTGGAAACGACCTTAAAGATGAATCAGTGACAAGTTTTAGAGATCATTGTACGATCAAGCATCAAAATATTGGCTTGGATGAAAAAAGGTTGTTGGTTGTCATTGAGCTCTTAGGGGATGTGGACAAAGGGGCATGGAAGAGGCTGCTACACTTGTATGAACTATACATGCCACATGGGAGCAAAATCATAATCACCAGCCGATCAGAGAAGACGGCCAGTCTTGGAACAACGGAAGCTGTCAGGCTAAATTATTTGTCAAAAGAAGCTTACTGGTATTTCTTCAGGACGCTCGTGTTTGGTAGCACGGATCCGGAGGAGCACCCAAAGCTAACATCCATTGCCATGGAGATAGCCCTAGAGATGCGTGAATCTTTCTTATACGCATATATCATTGCTGCCTTACTGAGAGAAAATATTAGTGCTCGGTTCTGGTGCAGGGTTCTCAGACACCTTAGGGAGCACAGGCAGAAGAATATCTTGTTGTTAGGTGAATGTCCTGTTGATGAAGAACAGCCACGGTATGTTTGGAGCATGGCCAAAAGGCGGCAAGGTTCTGAGGATATTATGTTCTATCTGCAAGGGTGTGACCCTCAAAAAGGGCCTGCTTCTCATGGCGAGATTCCAAAGATAACAGTGATGGATCTTATATCTGGCACCTGGAGTGCTATGCCACGGGGAAAATTTGAGGTCTTGTCCTGGAGGTCTGTTATACCACCGTACTACAGCTACACAACTGTTTGTGAGTTTGTCCGGCACGAGAGTAGTACCACAGCATAGATGAAGAAGAGGAGCGCTCTTTGGCACCGTCGTGACACTGCTTTGAATTACTGGTGGTTCTCTTCTTGTCTTATGGACCATGGTTCACCAGATTGGTAGATGCGACTTCCTTGCTTTGCTGGTGTTAAAGTTGGTGTATTTAAGTTGATCTGGTTCTTGACTCGAGCTTATATGGAGTATATTGTAACTGGTACCTAATTACTGGTTGTGCTTACTTGTATGGAGCTAGGTGTTAGTACATATATGGCTCCTTAATTACCGGTTGAGCTTATATGGAGCTAGATGTTTACATAGGGCTCCTTAATTGCCGGTTGTGCTTGTAACCACTTGTGTACTCTTCATCTGAATAAACAAGCCCTTGACTAAGTAGCTGATATTTCTGCAGACTCTCCTTTCACTTACTGTATAAAGTTGACATATCTTGCTAGTACTAACATCTAGTGTTGTTTCCAACCACTCGAGAAGCCCGTTTCGTTTACACGAATGACGGCACCGCTCAGAGAGGGCGATGAAGGGCAAGTACCCTGTGCGTCCTCAACATCGGCACAGATCCTCAGAATCAGCTGGTGCAACCTCTGCAAATCGTGCTGTGAAGTTTGGCAGCTTTCAGCCATGATGCTGGTTAATGGTGTCTTGTAGAAGACAACATCACTCACACGAGTCTGGGGAGTTCAGTTCAGGCAACCTGCATGCCTTGCTACAAAGATCAGTAGCGCAAGTGAAAATAAACACAGATAGCTGGAGCTAACAAGATAAAAAAACAGCTGAAAGAGCAGAGTGAACAAACACAACCACTGCCTGATTGCGCAGGTGTTGGAAAGGACCGAACAAAAAAGTGATCTCACTGTTGATCCCAACAGGGGAAACTTGCAGCTTCAAGTTTCCACCACACTGACTTTTATTAAATCAGAAATAAATACTTTTTTTCTGACATAACAGTGTCACCTTCGTTGGCTGGGTCAAACGCCTATTCTTTGAATTTTTCGCACAATTGCTTTCTGAAGCTTCCTACTGACCGTTAAAAGTCACCAAGTCAGCAACAAGCCATCAAGTGTTTGTTTGGTCACCAAATGGAGAGGGAACAAGCTGAGCAGAGAAGATGGTTAGTTTTGGAACAATGGAAGCCATCAAGCTAATTTTTTTGTCGAATAAGCTTACTGGTATTTTCTTCAAGATGCCCGTGTTTGGAAGCGCTGATCCGGAGGAGCACCCAAAGTTAACATCCAGAGCCATGGAGCTAAGCCCTTGAGACACAGATCTTTCATCACCGTATATGTTGCTGCCGCATTACTGAGATCAGATCTCAGTGCTTGGTTGTGGCGCAGGGTTCTCACACACACGAAGGCGGATATTCAGAAGAATATCTCATGGTTAGGTCAATATCCTGTCAATGAATACCAGCAGCCCTGGTCTCTATATTTGGAGCATGGCCTAAACAAGGCAAGGGTCCAAGGATCTTAAGTGTTTGATGCGACGTGGTTGCTACCAAAAAGGTCCTGCTGCTCATGACGAGGTTCCAAGGATATCAGCGGTGGATCCTCTATCCGGTACCTGGAGCGCTCTTCCACGGGGCAAATTTGACGTCTGGTGCTGCAAGTCTCGTATATACTGTACAAAAGCTACACATATGACTGTGAGTTTGTATGGGAGTGAGCAAACACAACCACTGCCTGATGTGGATCCCAGCAGGGGAAACATGCAGCTTCAAGTTTCCACCACGCCGACCTTTGAATCAGGAGCAGATACTTTTCTTCTGTCCTAGCCGCCTTTCTCTGTTTTTTTTGCATGATTGCTTTCTGTTGCTTTCCACTGACCGTTTAAAAGCCATAGAGTCAGTAGCTGCCTAACTCCATCCAGCTTAGAGTACCATCTAGCTAATCTGAGGCTTTGGAGGAGGTCCTGTTTGCTCGCACTTCATAATGGAGACATTCATTTCTGCAGTTCTTGGTGATCTTGCTGGCAGAGCCATATCATTCGTGGTCGACAAGTGCCGTGAGCAGGGAACCGAGGAAGACGATCTGCAGAGGCTGCATCAGCTGCTTCTGAGGTTACGTGTCATCATCGAGGAGGCCGAGGGGCGGTGTGTCACCAACCGAGGGATGATCTGTCAAGTTAGCATGATGAGAAAGCAAATGTTCAGAGGGCACTACCTACTCGACACCTTCAAGTGCAGAGAGAAGAAGACCGACGATGAGGAGGTGAGTCGCTCCCTGTTCATTCAATCCAAATTTAACCCCGCAAAGCGCTTTCGCCGCCTTTCTAGCGGCACTCAAATTGAGAGCATAGAAATTGGTAGAGACATCAGTAAGGAGTTGAAACAGCTTGTTCTTGCCCTGGAAACCGTGGTTGTTGATATGAAGGAGTTTGCTATATTTCTGATGAGCTATCCTCGCATGTGCCGCGAACCTTATGGTGCATATTTATTTTTTGACAAGTGTATGTTCGGTCGCCAAATGGAGAGGGAACAAGCCATCAGCTTCTTGCTACAACCTGAGCCTCTAGGGGGTGAGAATCTGGGTGTTCTTCCGATCGTTGGTCCTGGACTTATTGGGAAAAGCACTCTTGTGGAACATGTTTGCGACGATGAGCGTGTGCACAATCACTTCTCCTTGATCTTGCTCTACAATGGAAATGACCTTAAAGATGAAACTGCAATGACTTTTAGAGATCATTGCGTGGTCAAGCATCAAAATATGGCCTCGGGTAAAGAAAGGTTGTTGGTTGTCATTGAACTCTTAGGGGATGTGGACGAAGAGGCATGGAAGAGGCTGCTGCATTCTGCTGAAAGTTGCATGACATGTGGGAGCAAAATCATAGTGACTAGCCGATCAGAGAAGATGATCAGGTTTGGAACAGCGGAAGCTATCAAGCTAAGTTGTTTGTCTGAAGAAGCTTACTGGTATTTCTTCAAGATGCTTGTGTTTGGAAGCACGGATCCGGAGGAGCACCCAAGGTTAACATCCATAGCCATGGAGCTAGCCCTCAGGATGTGCGGATCTTTCATCTCTGCATGTGTTATTGCCACTTTACTGAGAGAAAATCTCAGTGCCTGGTTCTGGTGCAGGGTTCTCAGAAGCTTTAGGAAGTACATGCAGAAGAATTTATTGTTGTTCGGTGAATATCGTGACGTGGATAAGTCTCGGTATATTATGACCATTGCTGAAACACAGCGAGTTTCTAAGGATCTTAAGCTCTTTCTGCTCTATCCTAGTTATCAAAAAGGGCCGGCTGCTCAGGGCGAAGTTCCGAGGATAACAGTGGTAGATGTTCTATTCAGTAGATGGAGCACTGTGCCACAGGGCAAATTTGAGGTCTTGTGCTGGAGGTCTGTCATACCACCATACTACAACTATAAATATGTTTGTGAGTTTGTGCAGCACAAGAACACCACACCGTAATACTCTTCTTGTATATTCGATCAATTATGTTTGGCTTACCAGATTAACATGTATTAGACTTCCTTGCATGTTGTTCTAAATGTCGGTGCTTGATTTTAGTTGATCTGGTTCTAGACTGATTGATCTTATACGGAGTATACTGCAACTAGAACTCAGTAGATCATCATGTAGGGCTGTGATTGTAATCACTTGAATACTCTTCATCTCATTGAATAAAGCCTTGGAATAAAATCTAGTTGATATTTATGCGGACTCTGTTTTCACTTTTTTTTCGAAGCTGATATATCTTGCTAGTACCTTGTTTCCAAAGAACGGCTGCATCACTCAGAGATTGTGCAGGATGAGAACAGGGTGAGCAGACACAACCACTGCTTAATTTCGCAGGTGTTGGAAAGTATGGAGGAAAAATGTGATCTGGCTATTGATTCCACTGGTGCAAGCATTCAGCGTCAAGTGTCCACCATGTTGACCTCTAAAGCAAAAACAGGTACTTTTCTTCTTCTGTCACAACAATGTCACTTTCATGTAGCAGCAATAAAAACTAGGAAGACACCTATTTTCTGAAATTCGTAACACAATTGCCTTTTGTAGCTTTCAGCTGACCGTTCAAAGTCACTGAGTCAGCAGCTTCCTAATTTCCTCAAGCTCAGAGCACCACTAGCTGGTGAATGGCTGGGAGGGTTCCTGTGTGTTTGCACTTCACAATGGAGGCAATAATTTCTACGGTTCTTGGTGATATTGTCAGCAGATCCATATCTGTCTTGGTTGGCCAAGGAGCAGAGGATAATATACAGAGGCGCCGCTAGCTGCTTCTGAGGATATCTGCTGCTGTCGAGGAGGCCGAGGGGTGTCGTGTCGCACACTGAGGGATGATCCGTCAGGCTAGCGTGATGAGAGGGCAGATAGAGAGTCCATGAAGACTAGAACACCCGATGGGTCAATGAAGACTAGCTGGCCATTCAAAGTCATCAAGTCTGCAACTGCCTAATTCCTTCAAGCTCAGTGCACCTGACTTGGCAACTGCTTAAGTCCTTCAAGCTCAGACCACCATCTATCCGGTGACGGTGAGAGGCTGGGAGGGGTAGTTTGCACTTCGCGATGGAGGTGCTCATCTCCGCAGTTCTTGGAGATATTGTCAGCAGAGCTATATCCGTTGTGGTCGACAAGTGCCGCGAGCAGACAACCACCAAGGAGGATCTTCAGAGGCTGCGCTAGGGAATGGAGATCCTGGTGTCCTTCCGATCGTTGGTTCTGCACTTATTGGGAAAAGCACTCTCGTGGAGCATGTTTGCGACGACGAGCGGGTGCGCAACCACTTCTCGTCGATCTTGTTCTACACCGGAGACATCCTCAATACAGATGAAACGGCAACAACTTTTAGAGATAACTGTACAATCAAGCACCAAAACATCAACATCGCCTCGGTTGAGGAAAGATCCTTGCTTGTCGTCGATCTCTGTGAAGACTTCGACGAAGACACATGGAGGGGGCTGCTGTGCTCTTCCACGAGATCCCTGAAACCTGGGAGCAAGATCATAATCACTAGCCGATCGGAGAAGGTGGCCAGTCTCGGAACAACTGAGGCGGCCAGGCTAGAACGTCTGCCCGAAGAGGCCTATTGGTACTTCTTCAGGACGCTGGCATTCGGTAGCACGGACCCCGAGGATCACCCGGAGCTGACGTCCATTGCCAATTGCCATGGAGCTCACTGTTGAGATGCGTGGCTCATTCATGAACGCGTTCATCAGCGCCGGCCTGTTGCTGGGACCGGGCGCAGACCGTCTCTGCGCCCGGTCCTGGCGCAGGGTCCTCGCACATTTCAGGGACTACTTGCAGAAGAACACCATGCTGCTGGGCGGCGAGTACCCTCTCGACCTCCAGTCCTGGTACGTCTGGAGCATGGCCCAAGCGCCGTGTCTGGGTCGTCTCAAGCTGTTCCTGCCGTGCGATAGCTACCAGAGAGGGCTGGATGATCGCACTGAGGCACCGAGGGTGACGGTGGTCGACCTCCTGTCCGGGACCGCCGCCGCGCCATGGGGCAGGTCCGAGGTGTTGTTCTGGAGGTCCCTCATACCACCGTACTACAGGTACGTGTATGTGTGCGAGTGCGAGTTTGTGCAGCACAAGAACAAGAAGACCACGATCGAAAGTGAGCCGTAGCATTGGCCCGTGGTTTTTGCGACTGGCGCTCTGGCGATTGGCGACGCTCCCGGCAGCGCGGGCGCCGTGGCCGCCCGGACGCCCCCTCCGCCTTCCCCGCCCTCGAGCCCCGCCCCCCCGCCGGTGTCCGCCCCCCCTCGCCGCCCCCTTCCGGCTCGCCGCGGCTGCTGTGGGCTGACATCGCCGAGGCCGATGACTTGGCGGCCGGCCGTCCCGTCGTTTGCCGGGATCGAGTCCCCCCCAAGGCGCCGCCACGGCCGCCGCCTGTCCTCGCCGGTGGCCCTTCTCCCAGGGGTGGGGGATCGGCCGCCCGCGGGTCGGGCCGGCGCCGGCATCTCCCCCC